AGGTAAAACCTTCCCACCTCCAAGCAGTGTTGTGATGTGTTACTCTTTTGGCTCTTTGGGGGGCATGGAGCACCACCCAGCTCCCAAATAAATCACACATGGAGGCTTATTCTTAGATATGAGTGCCTGGCCTTAGCTTGGTTTATTTCTTGCCAGCTTTTCTTTTTTTTAGGGAAGGGTGGTTTCGAGACAGGTTTCTCTGTGGCTTTGGAGTGCTGGGATTAAAGGCGTGAGCCACCAATGCCCATCTCTTACCAACTTATTTGAAATTATGCCATGTATCTTTGACTTCAGGGATTTTATTCCTGTATACCTTTGCTTTCCTTCTTACCCTGTGTCTGGCTCGGTGGCTGGTCCCTGATGTCTTCCTCTCCTTGCTTCTCCCCTCCTCGTTTCTCCTCCTATTTCTCCTGCCTGCCAGCCCTGTATATCCTTGTTCCTGCCTGGATATTGGCCGGTAGGCTCTTTTTTTTTTTTTTTTTTTTTTGGTTTTTACAAGGCAGGGTTTCTCTGTATTGTTTTGGAGACTATCGGTCCAGCCCAGCCTCAAACTCACAGAGATCCGCCTGCCTCTGCCTCCCGAGTGCTGAGATTAAAGGCGTGCACCACCACCGCCTGGCCCATTAGGCTCTTTATCAGACCATCAGGTGTGTTAGACAGGCACAGTAACACAGCTTCACAGAATTAAACAATAAAATAACGCAACGCATCTTTGTATCATTAAATGTTCCATAGCATAAACAAATGTAACACATCTTAATATAATATTCTACCACAAAGACTACTTTGGCCAAGGTGGGTTATTTTGTTTTGTTTTGTTGTTTCCCCCACAGCAACAGAAAGGGAAGGACACAAGGCCTCCTGCCCTCTCACCTCCTCACCCCCACGCCAAGGAGCCCTCAAGCCTCCAGACCAGCAGGGCTCCAAAAAGCCTGACCTAAGTATCTGCCAACCTCAGGAAACTCAGCAAATGTGGGAGCAACCAGTTAGTGAGGGCTTGGCATCTAATGGTGTAGTATTGTGGCGGGGCAGGGCAGGGCAGTCAGTTGTTAGTAGGCAGTAGATCCAACTTTTCAAACAGTTTACCTTGCCGGGCATGGTGGTGCACACCTTTAAACCCATCATCTTGGGCCAAAGGCAGGTGGATATCTGTGGCCAGCCTGGTCTACAATGATTTCCAGGACAGCCAGGGCTATCTAATGAGACCCTGTCTCAAATAAAATAAAGCAAAACTAAAAATTAGCAAAAGGTAGCTTAACTGAAGATACATAATTATGTACCCAAACTGTTCTTATTAAGGTTTGCTATTTCTTCAATATAATATGTTTTGTCTTACCCTGAAACTATACTTCCATCCAGGAGGAACCATCCCAGACAGCTACAGATCTTTCTGGAACAGCAGATTGTTCTGTGTTTCCTAGAATTTTATGTGAATGGGACCATTCAGTAAGTTCCCTTTGTGGTCTGACTTAATTCCTCACACTTGAGGCCCCTTGAGTCTTTGTGATGTCCGTTAATTGTTCCTTCCCTCAAGACTGTTCACTGTCTTCTTCGGCTCCCGAGGGCTCAGGTAGTTTCTGCAGGGGGAAGGATGGACTGGAACTCCAACAGAGCCTCCGTTTTGGAGAACAGTTTTCATTTGACCTGCTGGTGGTTCTCTGGAAAGCCTGTTTGAAAGACTGCTTTTGCTGCAACCATCTTGAAGGTCACCCAGTATTCCCCAAGGGAGCTTTGTTAAAAAATATTTGGAAGTGGCTTGACTGAGAGAGCAGACATTAGGCTAACCAAGGAGCTTAAGAGGGGACGAGCTGGCTCAGTGAGTGAACACACTTGTCGTGCAAACTTGAGGACCAGAGTTCAGTTACTCAACACCCACGTAAATGTTGGGCGGGTGTAGGGAATCCACTGTAACCCCAGGACTCAGGAGAAAGATACATGGGGTTCCTGAGGCATGTTGGCTAGCTAATACGATACCCCAAATAGCAAACTCTAGATTCAAGCGAGAGACTTTGCTCTAGGTGGAGAGCAATTGATAAAGACATGTTATCAGCTTCTGGCCTCTACATGTACAAGGCACAGGTACCACCCTCACATGGGTGCTCCCATACATGCAAACACACCTCCTACACTCCATATTCACATGTAAAAAACAGAAGCTAAAAAGGGAATACTGGACAATGGATGGGACCTGGGTGCTTTGCAAAGCTCAACCATGGTCTGGGGACCTGGAAAGCTACTCGCACTCACAAAGGCGCATGCTCGGGAAAGGGCCCTGGGATCCCACCTCTAGCTGACCTTCAGGCCCTGAGCAAGGAGAAAGCCAAGGCTAAGTGGAGTTGTCTACCGCTTACCCGTGTGACAGTGAGCTCTGCTCCCCACAGAGTTCCTCAGCAAAGACCGGAGACTGGTGTCTAACTAAGGCTAGTGAGCAAGAGTCAGCGCACAGAATGTGCACAGCACAGACGCAGCTTGGGGCCGTCACGCGTCACTGAGGAAGGGGGGTCTCATTCTGGAGGCGGCACACCACATTACATTCTAAAGGCCCAGTATGAAAAAAACAGACAGACAACACAGGAAGAGAAATGAGAAAGAATGGCTCCCACACAGGTTGGAAACATTAGGGACTGATCTTGGGCTTTCCCAGACACTGGGCTAATTAGACAGTGCTTTAAGTAATTACTTTAAATGAGTTCAAGGCGCTTGCTACACAAACTTGACCACCTGAGTTCTCTTCCGGATCCCATGGTAGACTTCTGACTCCTGAAAGTTGTTCTCTGACCTCCACATGTACATGTGAACACCCACATTCACATATGTACATACACAAAGACATGACAAGATTCTTTTTTTTTTTTTTAACGAGACAACCGCCCGGCTGACAAGATTCTTTAAAACTTAAAATGTTTAAGTTCGAAGAAATAAAGGGAAACACCTGAAACAAGCAAACAAACAAAAAACCGATGGTATAACATTTCGCCAGGCATTGGTGGCGCACGCCTTTAATCCCAGCACTTGGGAGGCAGAGGCAGGCGGATCTCTGTGAGTTTGAGGCCAGCCTGGTCTACAGAGTGAGTTCCAGGACAGCCTCCAAAACAATACAGAGAAACCCTGTCTCGAAAAACAAAATAAAACAACAACATGAAAAAAACAAAACCCAAAACCAAACCAAAAAAACCAATGACATTTCATCAACAGCACAGGTGTGTGTGTACTTGTGGTTTCCAGGATGTGTATTGTGCATGCACATGTACAAGCGCAGAGACAGAGGCAGACATCAGGTATCTTCCTCCATTGCCCCCACCTTTCATTTGAAGACAGGGTCTCACTGAATCAGATCTCCCATGCAGCTAGGCTGGCTGGTCATCAAGCCCCAGGGATCCTTGGGTCTCTGCCTTCCCAGCACTGGGATTAAAGTCACAGGTTGCAGAACTCCTGAGGATCCAAACTCTGGTCCTCATGCTTACAAGGTAAATGTGTATTTTACCAACTTAGCCACCTCCCTAGCCTCACCAACAGTCTGTCTGGATGCCCAGAGCTCCTTGGCACTTTCCTCCTAACTACTCACCCTTTGAAAGCTGCTTGAACATGGTTGCCAGGTTGAGAGGCAGGCAGGGGAGGCTCTTTTAAATCTCCTTAGCAGCTACCCTGAGGTCCGGGAGCTATGGCAGAAGCAGTGGGGGAGGGACGAGACAGAGGGACGCTGGGAAGCATTTATTGGGCTGGGCATTTGCTGACTGGAGGGTGGGCTCCCATAGAATAAACGGAAAAGGAGCCGGCTACCAGAAGAGGGTAGATATTGAGAAGGCTCTATTTTCTGTCCCTACTGGAGAATCTGTCTTGACAGAGATAGGTTTAGAGGGGCCGGGGGTGCTGGGCATTGTGGAGAGAAGGGGGGTCGGCTGAGGGGCAGATTGGCCTGATATCAGCACCGGATTAGGTCCAATAGGTACTGGGTTGGTCTGGACGTTTAAACGGATCTTGAAGTTTAAGCCCTTGTCCTTTCCCTCCATGTACCACCTTAGTCCCCAAGTCCTTCCCGTCATCCATTGGGTATAATCCATTTTGCCATTTTGCCAATAGGATGACAGCCACAGGCTCCTTTCCTGGAGCACATGGAGACACAGAAATGAAGAGCAAGGTGCATCCTCTCAGCACTTGCAAGGTGTGCGGGGACCCACTTGCCTTCCTCTGTGACGTCCTCCCAGCCCGGGTCTGTTGACCCTTGAAACTGCCCTTCCCCGAGCCATTCTCTCAGGTACCTCTTAGCAATGCCTGCTCACTAGACAGTTTTCACTCAGTCTGAATCAGAGCTGAGTGAGGAGGGCGCCAACGGCAGCACTGGGGGCTGGGAGGAAGGGCTAGCACAGGGTAACTGCTGGCAGTTCTGCTCCCCAAGCCGCACCTGAGCCACTGAGTCATCAGTAGCCCCGGCTGTGGGCACAGACTGAAGGTGGGACAGTACACAGAAGCCATGGGAAATCTTCCGGGAGCTGGCTTTGTCAACTGCATCATGTGCATTAAAAGCAGATTTTTTTTTTTTTTTTGGTTTTTCGAGACAGGGTTTCTCTGTGGCTTTGGAGGCTGTCCTGGAACTCTCTCTGTAGACCAGGCTGGCCTCGAACTCACAGAGATCCGCCTGCCTCTGCCTCAGAGTGCTGGGATTAAAGGCGTGCGCCACCACCGCCCGGCTAGAAGCAGATCTTCACATGGTGTTGCATGCGTGTAACCCCAGGGCTGGGGAGGCTAAGGCAGAAGGCTCAGTTCAAAGGCAGCCTGAGTTTGGAAACAGAGAAAGTGCTGGGCTGTGGTCGTGTGTGCCCTCAATCCCTGCACTCGGGGAGCAGAGCTCTGAGTCTGAAGCCAGTCTGGGCTACATAACAAATTCCAGGTTAGGCAGGGCAAAGGAAGAGATTGGAGTGAAGGAGCCACACTCAGTAACGAGAGTGCAATAGACACACAAAATTCAATCCCTTTAGTTTAAAACACATTCAATGATACAATTAAAATGAGTAAAATTTATTTCATAAAACAAAATATAAAATAGTGTTATATGACCCGTATCCCGTATCTTAGAAAACCAGCTATTTTGTTCACATACTTCATTAGAATATTTTTACCTAAGTATACAGCTAACCATCCTATTCATACAAATGACCTATTCTAGTTCCCTGAACCTAAAGAGACCTGCAATTGTATTTCTGTTACAAGATTTGTTACAAAATTACATTGTAAAATTTTGTTTTTAATATTTAAGTGTGCACAAAACATTCCCCTGCCACAGTGATGTAAATCAACGAGGGCTTTCTAGTCAGCCCTTGGTAGAAAGTTCTGAAACACGGTACTCGAGGAAGTAGGTCCACTTCTGGGTGTGTCACTGGCTCACGATGACAGCTGTGACACTGCATGGGCACAGCTTGCTGACACTCGGATACACACCTCATAAGTAGCTGCAGCCGAGTCCGTCCTCCATTAGCTCCACTTAGGGCACAGACACCCCCAAGGAGGCGACACTCTCAAGAGCAGGCGGCTCTGCCACTTGAGACGGCTTTTTGCTAGGGAACACTTGCTTGTGTTTGGGAAAACGCATTCTACCTGCTTGGTCCACATTATCAAAAATAACTTAACCTCTTCTCTGGGGAGAGTTTTCAAAGTAGGTCTTCCTGCTCGCCTCCATTATCTGTACACAGACACCATATATATATATATATATATTATATTTATATCCGACATGTATGTACACATTTACAGGCAGACCTTCAAAAAGATATTGCACTTATATACAACGCAGCTTTTAACTGAACTAACTTCACACTTCACCTACTCAGGTTCTTCATAAGAAAGGCAGTCAATATGTCCAAGGAAGTTGCAAGGAAGATTCCAGGAACGCACCCTAGTTAGTAAACATCGGAGAGGAGAGGTGGAGGAGAGGACTCAATCCTTTATTGCTCAGGGCTGGGCCCACTCCCCAAGGCGGCTGGAGTTAGATTGAGGCCAGGCAAGAACACAGAGTCCTCAAAGACAAGCTGTTGCCTTCCCGACTCTTGCCAGCCAGCAGCCCACCGCTCTCGTGGACATAGGCAGATCTCCAGAGATTTGGTAAGTAACATAGCGATAACCCAAAGGTTCCCATGGTCTGTTATATCCGGAACAAGGTTCTCAGAAACTCAAACACAACCACGCATGAAACAGCAGCACAGCATGCTACACGCAGCGCCATCTCCTACGTGAAAGGTTCCTTCCCTGATAGTCAAGGTGTTGGCAGGGTGGGTGCCCGGGCTCCTCAGGTGGCCAAACTATAAGTTCTACGGAACACTTTCATGAAACTCCCATACCTGGGGGCTGAGTGCCCCGCACCTTAAATCTCTGTCAGGGTGAGCTTGTACGACCCGCCGGCTTCTTCAATGTGCAGCTGGAAGGTGTCTTCATTGGAGTAGTGTTTCACGATATTGTCGTCCATGTTCACCAGGATCCTGGACAAAGACGGGACATGAGTTCCCACCATCCTACTTGGTTGTGGAGTAAGGCTTGGATTTGCTTGTTAGCTGGGCGCTGACTGTGACTTGTGGGGACAGTGTCATACCCTCCTATGCTGTGGTTACCTCATTCAGAAGATGAAGAGCCCCAGGGTGCCTATGGCCAGGGCCAGGGAAAGCCAGGGAGGGAGGGAACCGAGTTCAGGAGTTCAGGATCCCAGTGGTGGAAGTAGGGGGCAGACAGGAAACACTGCCTGTCTTATCACATCCGGCCTGGATGTTTATGCACTAAGTGGTACCCAATATGGGCTGTTCTGTGTTAGAATCAGTAGAACTCATCACCTGACCGATTACCCTTCCTGGCAAGTCACCCTCAACATTTAAACAAAGCAGTAAAGCGTAACCCTTCCTGTTAGATTCAGCTAGAAAATTCCAATTAGCATTTGGTTTAGAAATAAGACAAATACGCTGCTTATTCATGCCAAAGAGTACAAACACTTCAACTAAAACACAAGTAAAAATTGTAATTTCTGGGCCAAGCAGGATGGCTCAGCAGGTAAAGGTGCTTGCCGCCAAGTCTGGTGCCCTGGGATCCACCCTGGGTATCCATGCGGTAGAAGGAAAAAAATGACTCATGAAAGTTGTTCTCTGACCTCCACAGGTGCACTGTGGCATAGACATACACACACACACAAACATACACACACAAACACACGCACACACACAGATACACTAAAAATTAATTTCTGAACAAGAAGCAATTTTCTATAGCTTGAAAATACAACCTAGGGTAGGACATTTAAGAAGAAAAGGAAAAGGCATAACTGGATTGAATCACAGACCACATGACCATGGAGAGCTCCATATCCCCAAACCACCTGATCACGGATAAGCCCATCCTCCTCTGAGCCTGAGCTATCTCACTGGTAAACACTAAACTCATCTAGAAAACACGAGGTGAAAACCAGGCGAGTCCTTAGTCAGCTTCACTGCACACCCTGCAGAGGGGGCCACTTCACCGCTGCCAGGCACAGAAAAAACCAACCTTCAAATGTAATAAGGAAAGAAAACAAGGCATGGTGGTTCACGCCCATACTCCATGCACTGGGGAGCCCAAGACAGGAGGATTGCCGAGAGTTCGGGGCTAGCCCGGGCTACAGAGTGTGACCCTGAATCACTCTTCCACCTTCTCCCACACAAATAAAAGTTTTAACACCTGAATTTTCATGGCTGCTTCTGGACTGCGTGTCACTGAAGGCATGTGACATCAGTACTATGGACAATTGTCTTCAGGAGCACACAGGACCCTGGTCATTACTCACCCTTTTTTGCACTTCTTAAATATTTTCCCAATCTTCTCATGGGGGACATCATACTTGTCTGAGATCTAGAAGAACAGAGAATAAGAATGCTGTTGTCCAAGTTTTAAAAGAAGAGCCGTGTGTGTGTGTGTGTGTGTGTGTGTGTGTGTGTGTGTGTGCGTGTGTGTGTGTGTTCTGAGGCAAGGACTTACTATACCAAAAGCTGGCCTCAAATTTGGAATTCCTCCTGTCCTGCTCCACCCTCCCTCCTCCAATATTGGTTTTCTCTGTGTAGCACTGGCTGTCCTAGAACTCACTCTGGAGACCAGGTTAGCCTCAAACTCAGAGATCTGCCTGCCTCTGCCTCCTAATTGTTGGGATTAAAGGAGTTTGCCACCACAGCCCAGACTTCAGCCTCCCGTTTTTAAAAGACTCCTGAACAAAGAGAATGTCAAGATTCAGACTATGTCCTGGGGTGGCAGGGGGGGGTGTGGGGAACAGGGGACGGGACTGGCGTTTCCCCTAATTAATGCAGATGGCAGCAAGCCAACTGACTGAAAGAAACATCTGTAGCTAGGACCATGTGACAAGGCTTGGTTTCGTGATGCAGAGGCCTTGTGTGCACAGAGTGGCTCTAGTTTCTGTGACAACTCCTTGACTTGTTCTGCTGCCTCTGCTCCATGCAGGAGCCTATACTGCACCAGATCTGCTCTCTGAAGCTGCGGTGCACACCAGGCCTACCCCATGGCGCATACCAGGCCTTCCCCGTGGTGCACACCAGGCCTTCCCCGTGGTGCACACCAGGCCTACCCCGTGGTGCACACCAGGCCTACCCCGTGGTGCACACCAGGCCTACCCCGTGGTGCACACCCCTGGGCTGACGAATGGCATGTATTCATCCTTGAAAGTCACCGACAGGTCACACGGTATAAGTCAAAAGTCTGTGCCATCTTTAAAGAACACAAAAGCCAACATGGCTAGGAGGCTAATGCTGGACGATCACTGAGCTGAGGCCAACGTAAGCAGGAAAGGTCACAGGGAGGGACGCTGGGACCCACTATCGTCTCATTTGGTCTATGCAGCTTCATCACACTTTCTGTGTGTCAACATTTACCGTGGATCTCTGGCTTATTTCATTGTCTTTGTTTGGGGATTGTGTCATTTACTCTGGTGGCTCCAATACCTACAATGGCACCTGGACAAAGTTGAGTGTGGTAGTCCATGTCTGAAATCCCAGCAATGGGGAGTCTGGGCCAGAGTGGGCTATATAAGTGAGTTCTAGACCAGTCTGGACTACACAGCAAGCCCTGGGTTTTGTGTGTTGGCTTTTAAAAGACTTTTTTAAGTGGGTTCGGCATACTGCAGTTGCCAAGGGAGCTAAGGGAGATTGTCTAGCCCAATTTCAATTATGCATCACTTTGAGATCACAATTTCTATGGTTTGTAAGGGCTGGTGCTGGGTCCCCCCATGTGTCTCCTACTGACATAGGGACATGTGCACAGCTGAGTGCAGCCCTCTGTCAGCTCCTGGGATTGGTGGCCCTCACAGGTCACACCACTACATCCTCTCAGATGTACTCTGGATAAGGAAGGTGCAGAGGCAGGCTGGGAGCTGGAGTTTTTGTTTGGGGACAGGTTTGTCTCAAATTCTCACGTTTCTGCCCGAGCTTCTAGAGTTCCGGAAATTACAGATGTTCCTCCCAAGTCCAACTGAACAACTATTTTATGGATGACATTTTTAAGACCTTACTATTGTCAACTTCTACGTGGTTTGCTACATGAATTTTCTTTTAATCAAGAATACAGAAGTTAGATGGCTCAGAGGTTAAGAGCACTGACTGCTCTTCCAGAGGTCCTGAGTTCAATTCCCAGCAACCACAATGTGGCTCACAACCATCTACAACTCAATCTGGTGCCCTCTTCTGGCATGTAGGCAGAATACTGTATGCATAATAAATAAATTTAAAAAATATTTAAAAAAATAGAAAAGTTAATCTGCCCCCTAGGCCATTACAAATGGAATTCAGCAGGACACACACGGCAGAGGGATCCACCTACCAACTCCAGGCTGGCACAAGGAATAGACAGACCTGCAGTCAAGCGAGGATGCCCAAGGCAGGTCAGATGCACACAGTGCTATAGGCATACAAAGGATGCCTGGGAGAGAGGTCAAGGTTCCAGCGAGACAGAGGAATCAGGTTGTCTAATAAAACGCCTCAGCGGGACTGTGAGGCCCCTTCTCTGTCACTCAGGGATGTGATGCGTGTCCTACTTACCGCCTCCATCAAGCCCTTCAAAGACGGGGACTTTAGCATCAGAGCATCAAAGACCTCCTCTGACTCCTTCCGGACGTAGAGCAGCACTGGGTAGGGGCCACAGAGGAAAGGGTTAGTTCACATAAGCGAGATTCATGAAAACAGCCACAGGTACTAGTTAAGATGGTCAGACACCGTCCCACGAGGGACAGCCACACACTCCACCACAATGTGAGCCCCAGGGCCCAGCTGCAGCTTCCCCCTGCACTCTGCCTCCCCCTGCACTCGGGGAGGTGATGGTCTAAAAGGTAAACATGCAGGGGTGAAGCCAGAGAAGCCAAGTTCATGAGCTCACTGCTGGTTAAGAGTTCCCATCTACCACCGGGACCCACACACCTCTCTTCGGCTCTTCTGTCCGGGTCATCTTAGCAGGTGGAGGAACTAGAAAGTCGTCTTCGGTTCCGAACGGGCCCCTTTTCAAGACAGACCTGTGGGCGAGCCGAAGCACAGCTGGGTCATGAGCTTCAACCCCGATGAACTGCACAAGCAGTCCTGCACCTCAGACTCAACTCCTTTCATCCTTTACGTGGTCCAAGCCAGATGACGACTTGGGGGGGGGGGGGGGCTCATTAGGCCTAGGCCACCCAAATGACATGCTGTATGGGCTCCATGGCCGGACATGCTTCCATCAACTCAGCACTAAGCACGGGACAGCAGACATGGACCTCCTGTGACATAAGACACACCTAAGTGGGCAGGCTGCCTCCTGTGTTCGACTTTAAGGAATCATGATGGGTTTTATGCCACAGCTCAGGAGACTCTACAAGTTGTATCGGGTGGACAGCTGTGACCAAAATATCTGGTCTATGCTGCAGGAAATTCCAGGCCCACAGGTAGGACAGTCTATTAGAAGGCTTGGGTGACAATCACAGTGTAGCTTCTAACGGCTTCCATGGAAATAAATAGCAGGGGAGAGTGAACAAGGAGCCTGAGAGGAAAGTTCACAGGGCTGAGGCACAGCTGGCAAAGGCGTGTCCTGGGGGAGGGGCTGTGAGGTGAGCAAAGAAACAGAAATAAGGACAGCGAGTGCTTTCAGAAGAGGCCTGGAAGCATCAGTTCACCTCAGCCCCTCGGTCATAACGAGCCCTTGGTGAAGGTGCCCGCAGGAGCCACATCTGAGACATCATGAATGGAATTGGTGGTGGTGGCACAGGCCTAGTGGCAACAAATGTGGGCTGGGAGCCGGACAGAAAGGAGGGAAATCAGAAAAAGAGGCAAAGGGGGCAGGCGTGGGGCTTGTGCATACAATCACAGCACTCAGCAGCCCGAGGTGGGAGCTGCTCCTGAGCTGGACGCCAGGCTGGGCCACACAGTGAGTCCTAGGCCACACTGGGCCAGGGTACAGCCCTGTCTCAAAAGCCAAAACTGAAATGCAAGGAGGAGGGCAATGGAAGCCACCAGCAGCTGCGCTCCATCTCCATGCACTTTTCTGCGAGCAGAAAACAGAAAAAGGAATGTCCACAGCAGACTGTACTATTCCTTCAAAATTCAGTCCCGAAGCCATCATAAAGGACAAGCCTGTGTAGGCTGTGCATATTCTAATAGCAGGGAACTGCGGCGCACAGGGCCCGTGGGGATGAGCAGGGGATCTACAGAGGAGCATGGAGACTTCAGAAGACATCTGGGATCCCTTGTCCTGGGTTCTACACACTGCTTCCCCTATGGGGAACCAGTGTTTCTTAAAGACTGGTTCTGTGGCTGGACAAGGAAAACAGCAGCACCGAATGCAAGTCAAAAGGAGCCCCGTGTCAACACAGGCAACCAGTGAATCCCGGTGAATGGAAGGGATGCCTTAAGGTGAGAGACAGAGTCCAGTACTGATGAGGGAGACAGTTGGAAGTTTGGCGGTGAACTGATGTCATGAGGGAGACAGTTGGAAGTTTGGCGGTGAACTGATGTCATGAGGGAGACAGTTGGAACTTTGGCGGTAAACTGATGTCATGAGGGAGACAGTTGGAAGTTTGGCGGTGAACACGGTATTCGCAGGGCACAGCACACTGTCTCCACAGAGTAGACAAAGGGAAGAGATCTACGCAGAGGTTTAGTCCGGTGGTCACAGGAATGAGATAAACTGGGCAGGAAGGATGCCAAGGAAGGAGGCATCAGAGGGCAGGGCTGCCAATGCACACATCTAGGGTGCGTGGTGAGGCCTCAATTTAAGATGCCCCGAAAGTTAAGTCAAAGCAGGCTGTCCCTGACTGAGGTGGTTAAAGACACACCACCACGGGAGGCTCTGAACAGAATCTGGCCTTGCATAGCAGTGCTACCGTACAACCAGGGAGACCTGGATGGGGTCTGCCATTGAGCCAGCCTGGTTCCCTTCCACACTGTGGGATATAAGTGAGGCCCTGTTACTAGGAGACAGACACCTGATATCTGGGTCAGCTCTGAGGGGTCAGCTGTGACGTCCTGGCCTGGGACTCACTGTGTAGTCCAGGATGGCCTGAATTCACATTGTCCTGCCTCACCTCCTAAGTGCTAGGATGGCAGGTAGGTGTCACCACACCTGGCCAAGAAACGTGTGCTCACAGCGCAGAGGTAAACAAGTTCTTTGTATTATATCTACTTTTTTGGTGACTTTGAGTTTATTAGAGTAAAACAAAACATCAACCTTACCCTTCACCTTCCAGTTCTTCAGAGGGGATGGAAAGAACCTAAAACCCAAAACACAAGATTCAGATTGCTTCCCAAACCTGTTCAAATATTTCAGGCAAGTAAATTAGCCCCAAAATGGAGATAATTTTGAATGTGACCAGCCTAATACCAAACCCTTCCTCTAAAAGACAATCCTGTAGCCGTATTTTTCAACACCCAGATTTTTACAGTTCCCTTCAACTTCGCTGACTCAGGGGCTGATCTCTGTGGCGTGTGGACCAAACCTGATGGAGACTGGCTGAGGTAAACATTTAATGAAATGAGGTCCTACTCATTCCGTCACTCATGGTGTGTGGCTCCTTCTGTAACAGAAGGGCAGAGTAGAATAGCCCACAGGGGATGGCACAGATCACAAAAGTCTGAAGCATTCAGTGCTACCAGAAAAAGCTTGCAGACTCCAGCTCGCCCTGAGGCTCTCACTACAATCAGAGTGTTGGCATCACCTCCGAAAACTCATTAGTCCCTTACAAATCTTTCCACTAAGTGCATGGCAGGGTCTCTTTTGTGAATTTACCAGACCTCGTTATAAAAAGAAAAGCCACACTCTCCTGAAACTCCTGTCCCACAAAGCAGGGCGTGGCTGTCTTTTTTTTTTTTTTTTTGGTTTTTTGGTTTTTCGAGACAGGGTTCCTCTGTAGCTTTGGAGGCTGTCCTGGAACTCACTTTGTAGACCAGGCTGGCCTCAAACTCACAGAGATCTGCCTGCCTCTTCTAAACATGTTTTTTGTTTTTTGTTTTTGTTTTTTTTTTTTTTTTTTGAGGCAGGGTTTCTCTGTGTAGCTTTGGAGACTGTCCTGGAACTCACTCTGTAGACCAGGCTGGCTTCGAACTCACAGAGATCTGCCTGCCTCTGCCTCCCGAGTGCTGAGATTAAAGGTGTGCGCTACCAATGCCCGGGTGTGGCTGTCTTTGCATGGATTGCCAAGACTTGGCTGTAGAGCACATGGCACATTCCAATGACATCCAACATATGGGAATTACAAGAAACGGCCTTCGGACACAGGTGTCACCCAAGCTGAACTTACAAGACCAGGGACTCAAACTCCAAATGTGATGCTGCTCTCAACACCTTTAAGTGAGCTACAGCATGAAAGAACACACGTGGAACTGAGGTTGACAGGTGCAGCGCTGCATCTTCGGATCAGCACCATTTACCATCTGATTCCAATGGGTATCATGCCACCATGACTGAAAGTTCCAGAGAGCTCACGGATTGGTCAAGGGCCACTGCGGGCTGACTATGAAAAATGTCAATGAGTTTCTTTTTGCCAGGCCCTGCAGCCTGTCCCGGGAGGCTGGTACCTACATGACTGCCCCGCTGCAGGTTGGTAAAGTGCACATCAGGGATGAAGAGAACAGGCTGGGTATCCAGATCCAGGAAGGGCTTGAACACCGTGATGTCCGTCCGCTTGTGTGAGGGAAGCAGCTGCACTTTAACATCGGAAACTGGGGAGCAAAAACAGAGGCCACCAAGAGATTATAGCGATGGGCTGGCTGTGTGTGGGGCTGCTCCACCTCTGTGACCTGGGGGCCACTCTGGTCTACATAGTGAACTAGAACCAGCATCCAAAAGAGCCTGAGCCTGGGATAGCCCGAGACACTGGCCTGCAGTTCTGTAGGCAAGCCTCTGCCCTCGTTGGCAGCTGCTGGTGAAGCCCTTGGTGCAGGCACTCGCCCATCCAGCCTCTCCCCCATGCAGCCCGCACTCCCCAGGGTCCAGGCTGTGGCTGGCAGGCCTCGGGCATCGGCAGGCTGCATTCCCCGGGGACTGGGGTCGGTGCACTTGCCTTTTCTCTTGCTTTGCTTTCGTTCTTCATCCCTGATTTTCCGCTCAGCTCCCTGCAGACAAAGGAGACAGGAGTCTGACGGTCAGGTCCTCGGGGACTCCCAGGCTCTCTGGGAGTTAGTGCCATCACAGGGCTGGCCACACCTGCCCCCTCTCACTGAAGTACATCATAAACATGTATGGACATGTCACAACGAACCCCCCTTCTACAAGTAACGTATCTAATAACACTTGCACAACTTCTTAAAGTCATTTCTAGCAACATGAAATCAACCACAGGGAACAGTTTAAACACAAATAAAGCAAAATTCCTTTTGACAACACATGCAGTTGGTTTAAAGGTGGAGGTGGCCCGCCAAAGGTGTGGGCACCTTTCCCCCTATCTCATAGGAAAGGGCCATCAAAGACAAAAAAAAAATTTGGCCCCATGAATATTCCCTGAGTGGCCAATGTCATCACAGAGAGCAATGGCTCTGTCCAAAGACACAGTGCCTATGAGTGACAGACACAATCGGTATCAACGACAAAAACAAATGCCACTAGTGGTCTTTGTGCTCTGTGTTCTGTAAAAGGACTTATCTGTGCTATGTATATCAACTGCACAGAATGGCGGTATCATGCAACCAAACCCACAAAAATATTCACACGAGGGCTGGAGAGATGGCTCAGAGGTTAAGAGCACTGACTGCTCTTCCAGAGGTCCTGTGTTCAATTCCCAGCAACCACATGGTGGCTCACAACCATCTACAATTCAATCTGGTGCCCTCTCCTGGCAGAACACTGTATGTGTAATAAATAAATAAATCTTAAAAAAAATATTCACATGAACTTTACTAGTGAAACCCATGACCTGAAATCGGGTACCATTTGCGTATTAACATGCAACATTGACTCAGTCTCCTTTAGTGAGGCTGTCTCTGGATTGTGCAGACAGGTGACTTCACAGCTCCCCAGGAAGGTAGGAAATGCTGGCTTATTTCTGTCATATACACTCCCTGATAGGAAGAAGGAAGTGAAGGGCCTCTCATTGATCTTTGGCCTCATTACCCGATAAAGATCAGCTTTGAAAACAACAAAGAACCTCCTGCCTGCTCTAGAGTGCTAACACCTTGTACATGTACAACACGGGAGCTGCACAGCCTCCTTGTAAGAACGGCTTGCAGTACAAGGGTAAGGACTAGAGGTCTGATCCCCAACACCCATGTAAACTGTGGGTGTCCACTGCAGCCCCACCTACAATCCCAGTGAGCAAGAGGTAGAGACTGTGCATTCCTGAAGTAAGCTGGCTAGCAGGAGCTGCCAAACTGGCAATTTGGGTTCAAGTGAGAGATCCTGCCTCAATATATACCATGAAAAGTGACCAAGGAAAGGAAGACAGTACATCAGTCTCTGGCCTCCTCCTCTCGAGTGCTCAAGTTCTCCTGCTCGTGAGCACGCCACATGCACACGCACGTACACACACACACACACACACACACACTCTCTCTCTCTCTCCACACATATGTACCCTCTCACATGAGCATCCACATGCAAATAAACACATCCATGAGCGCGTACATACACACACACACACACACACACCATAAAATAAAAGAACTGTTATGTGCTACTGATACAGACTCCTGATACAGAGAAGCAGGGCAGTGTCTGCAGCCCCTAGCCAATCCTGTGGAGAGATGCACATCTCCCAGTGACTCCTAACAGCCTAATAGTAACTTCAGTTAGAGAGAAGCGACACCTCCACCCCAAGGTGGCCTCACGCAGAACTTATTATCAGCCATATCCAGAAAGAACAAGGAACTCAGGCTCCTGCCAAGATGGAGACTCATACCCTATTCTGAAATGACAGGACCGAACCTAACTTAGGGACCAAGGAGTCTGACAGCCCCTGCAGAAAAGAGGGGAGCATAGGTCCGACAGCTGCAAGTCCTGACACCGCCCTCCCAAGTGCCAGGACAATGAAGCTCAAGGAGATTCAACCCTGGGGGCGCAAAGAGGCTACTCCAGACACACCCCAGACAGAGAACACCACCCTGACAGGCACACAGGGCAGACATACTCTCTGTTCCCCCAACTGGACTGGAAAAAGCTTTCCTCGCACAGGGCACGGAGCCAACACCCAGGAAATCCTGCACAGTGGTGCAGAATAATGGGCCCAACAGGGTGTGGCCCCAGAGTCACCTGTGGATCACAAGGGGACATCTGAACGAATCAAACTGTTTCCAAGAAACTTAATGAGGACAAACCTGAAGAAGAGTCTGAGGGATAAAAACACCCAGGCCCAGCAAGGCAAAACGTACAAGGTCAGGTACCCAGCAAGACAGATCGGTTTCCACCCAAGCAGAAAGGAAATCAAACGGTGGAAGTGGGCCCAGGCATGGGTACCAGGCACAGACATTAAGCCAGTGATGTCATTCAAAAACTATGGAAAAACTAAGCCTGGGCTGAGGGTGTGGTTCAGTGGGACAGCGTCTACCTGGTATGCACACGACCCTATGTTTGCTGCCGTCAAAACCAACAAATAACGGTTATTACCCCCAACAGGAAAACCAAGCCCACTACTTGCTGAGTAGAGACATGATGGAAAATAGGTCCATTGGATTTTCAGAGACGGAAACGACAATGGATGGAGTTCAGTTGTATCGGTTTAGACCTGGCAAAGATCAGTGAACCTAGGACAATGGAAACTATCGGGATGAAGTAAGAAAAATCAAAGGACAACGACAGACAGGCCATCAGTGGAATTCAAAGCACATGACAGAAGGGAAGGAGCAGGCACATCGAAGGAAACAACAGCCAGACATGTTCCAAACCCAGGGAGAGCCAAACTCAAGGACGTGCAGTCTCATCACACGCAGATGCTCACCGCCAGTGGAAGAGAAACCCTTGCTAAGACATGGAAGATCTTCTGCACTTAAGACTGACTTCTGTGGGTGCCAGTGAGATGCACAGGGATTAAGCTCAGCACTCAGGGTAACGGGCAGAAGGCTCACGAGTTCAGGTCATTGTTGCTTCTATAACAGGCACAGGCTACGTAAGACGGTGTGTCAGAAGCCAAAAGGATGGGCCAATGAGACAACAGAAAAGGCAGCGGCCTAAATTCACTGCTAAGAAATCCAGACTCTGCCCGCATTTTCTCTGAAAATGCGCCGAGTGGCTGCTGCTCCTGAGAAATGAGAGACTCGTTCATCAAACCAGCTAAGCAGCTCGCAACAGAGACGGCACAGCTTCCTTAGGGAAGAGACCGCTGTCCACACATCAAAGGACATCCCTAAGTGTCTCCAAGTGGAGACCAGACTCACAGTGAGAGCTCGGAGAGCCAGCAGGTAAACCAAAGGCGACAACTAACACTGGGGCAATGCACAGCAGACAGAGTCAGGGCTGCAGGTGGCAGCGGACAGCTGAGGCAGCTCCGGTTTGCAGGGGACGGGGGACGGGGCAACCTTCATGGCACTCAAAAAATGAACTCAGGAATCTTCAAGAATGCCCAGGGAAATTATTAGTCAGATTTAACGGAAACATCAGATGTGAAAAAAAAAGGTGTGAATAAAACTGAAATTTCTCTAGTTTTATAAAAGGAATGTAAATATCCTGGTAGCTCCTCAAAAGAGAGAGAGAGAGAGAGAGAGAGAGAGAGAGAGAGAGAGAGAGAGAGAGAGAGAGAGAGAGAGAGCATGTAGCCCAGGCTGGCCTGTCTCCCAATTCTCCTGGCCTCTCAGGTGCCACACCCCTGGACCATCAGGTTTTCTCGGGGCTAGGGAGGAATGTGGTCAGATGGGAAGAGCCTGACCTAGGTCACAAGTGCATGTGCCACCAGCTGCGACTCACTGACTCCAAGTGCAGCCCCTGGGAAGCACCTGTGTCCCATTAATCTCCACACCTGATCCAGCGGCCTGGGAAGGAGCGGACTGCATGGCAACGGGAGGGAAGGCTGCTGGGAAGATAGGGACACGATCCCAGGGCAGCTGTGGGAGCCCGAGGTGATGACGAGGGACCAGAAAGCAGAAAACCAGAGGCATAACGAAGATGCAGAGAGGGATGAGTGGTCCTGTGTGAACCACTGCAGGCTTGGGACAGCCACGGCTGCAAACCGCGCCCAGCAGGTGGAGAAGGCAGGGAGCCAGACTGGAGACAGAAAGGCATGCAGACCTGCTCACACCTTGGTGTCAGCTCAGGAAGAGTGAGCTACCAACAGATAATAACAGGGTGTTGCTTTACGCTGCTCAATTTGTGATCATTTGTTACATACAGGTGGAGCCCCTGGCCTGCAGATGAGCCGGATCCGGCAGACTGTTGAGAAAGCTCTCTGAAGGCGAAGGTCCTGGGCGCCCTCCAGTGGTCAGACCCAACAGCCCTGCCAGAGTCTAACTTGATGGGGGAGGCAGGAGCTGCACTAGAGAAACTTGAAGGGGAAGCAGAAATCTTGGGGACGGCCTGCCATAGGACCTTCTGGGAGGCAAGTCAGGTGGAGGGAGTCGCTATGGTCGTTACTGATCTGGACTGGGCCCACATCCTTTCCTTTACCATTCTCAGTCGTTTTTAGTTCGAGCGAGCATTCCCCCTTCCTTCTATAATTTAGCTTCCTTTCACGCAAGGGTGAAAGGCTAAGTGTTCACTTAAGGTTGGTGACTATGTGTGGAAGTGCGTCCAGGCATTGTTGGGGAAGGACGCCCCACCTCGGCTGCTCCTCCCGAAGCCCACTGTTCCCTCACCTTGTCACAGAAAACCTTTATCTGGCAGTAGGCACGGTGCACTGGCTTGTTGCTGCGGTTGTTATAGCTGTACGTGTCGATCTGGATGTTGAGGGGTAAGCCCTTCACGCCCTTCTGAGAAGAGAAGTCCGTGCTCAAGCAGTTGACGGAGATGAACACCTGTGAAGGAAGACAGGCTTCCATGAGTGGCAACTCCAGCAGCAGCAGGCTCGGCCCGGCCTTTGCAATGATGGACACTCGAGCCTGTCATGAATCTTTTCTTTCTCTCATTACACCTTGTCATCATGAGGGGAAGCCAGAGCAGGAACCTGGAGGCAGGAGCTGAAGCTGAGGCATGGAGGGGCGATGCTTACTACCTGCTCTCCATGGCTTGTTCAAGCTGTCTTCTCTTACTACCCAGGACCGTCTATCCAGGGTGGCATTACTTGCCAGTGGCTGGGATGCTCATGATTCTCAGAGGCAGCGGAGGACACATCTCGAGAGCAGTGGAGAGGAAGAGGGGGAGCTCGGAAGTTGTTTACTCCCAGGCTCGCTCTTGGATGTCAGCTAGGACAAGTAACGTGGCCCCCGTGGCTAATGTCATTTGCCAGGGACACCACAGTGTGCCTCTTGGCTGCTGAGGAACAGCTCTACACCCTCTCTGGAACCACCCTTCATGGTTCTGCATGCTAGTAAACATGCCCCATTCCCCCTTTATGGTTCTGGGTTTGAATCTGTCTGATGTGGTCCAGATGCTTTTCATTCTCCAGGCCACTGGCTTTGGAATTAATTTATGGGCATCATGCAGTGGATAGGATTAGAATCATAGTTTTATTTAAAACGGGCAATTTCAGAGATGCAAGACCCTTCAGAGATGCCACACAACCAGGATTCCTTCCGGTGCCTAGGCCCCAGCAGTCTAGCACGAGTTACCTGAGAAGCACTGCTGTCCTGCTCAACTAAGACACGAGCAGGGGTGGCCTTGGGTTGTAAATGGGTATGCGATGGGGACTGTGTGCCACAGGGGCATTATGTGGAAGACAAAAGGAGGAGACAAAGACACGAGAGAAAGAGAATTAGAGCCACGGTGACAGAGGGCCAGGGCCAGGCAGGTGCAAGCCTTGGCTAGGTTACTCTCCTCTGCCTAAGTGGGAAAGGGTCGAACATCCTAAGTAGCCTGGGACGTGATCTGAAGACCACCCCTCATCTGTTCTTCCCCAGACCTTTCTCACTCTCCCTGGACACTGTGAGCCCCACCACATCCCGACCCTGCCAGCTGTCTTACTGATCTGGTCAGGATCACACCACAGGCCCCACCCCCTGCCTGTCCAGGTCTGAGGGTCCCGTGGGATCCCGTCCTCCACATAAAACTTGTCTCTCCATACAGGATGTCACACTCTGTGCTGGGATCACGTTGTACTCTTCAGACGCGCTACAGAGCTATCCCTGTGCCCAGCAGAGGGCGCTGTCCCTCCACATTTGAAGCTCCAGGAGCTGTTAGGGTTGGCCTACCTTTCCCACAGTGACCTAACCCCACAGACTTTATCCTTTGGGTAGAGGTCCGGGCGGAAGGTGCCCAGATGTATCCCTTTCTCCAGACTGTTCACACAAGGGCAATGTGCTATCTTACTTCAAAAAGTTTTCTATTTCCAATAAACAAAGGAAATTACTTGACTTAAAAAAACAAAACACAGCTTGTGTGAGTGTGCCAAGGGCCACCCCTGGCGTTAGGTGTTATCCTTTGAAACACCATCTGCCACCTTTGAGACAGGTCTGCCATTGGCCTGACTCACCGATTAGGCTAGCATGGTCGGTCAGGGACCCCAGACAGCCCTCTTTCTGTTTCCCCAGGTGACGAAGGCACAGCGCACCACCACACCCAGGTCCTCACGCTTGCACGACGAGCACTTTACCGAATGAGTCATTTTCCCAGCCCTGTTTCTTTTTGTTTAAAGACTTAGGTCTAGATGCACAAGCAGGAAGTGGCTCGTGGGATTTCTGAACGGCTTTACTTAAAAATCCGTGATCTGGTGCCTTCTCCTGCACATCTAAAATATCTACAAGAATATCATGAATGCAAAAATACGTAATCGAGGGATAGGACACAGTCGTGGAACCAGGATCGGTGAGAGCCAGCAGGTAAAGAAAGGTCCCTGCCACGGGCCTGCCGACCTGGAGTCAATGCTCAGAATCCACACGGTGAAAGGGGAGAATTGGCTCCCTGAACCCTGACCTCTGACCTCCACATGCATGCTGTGATACAGAAATAAATGTGAGAGAAAAGAAACCTGAAAAGGAAAAATAAAATTTAAAAAGGGTGAAAAAAAGAAGGCAGTCTTTGAAAACAATGAAAGTTACTAACTCACTGTACATTTCAACTTCCAGCCAAATGTTAAAATCTAATCTTCTGTCACCCTGAACCATGTGGCACAATTCCTAACTTAAAAGTGGCTCCCCAAATCCAGGAAGCCTCTGACCCACAGGGCCATTCCCATGACAAGAGGATTTCACAGTAGTGCAACCCAAACCCGCCACCCTTGCTTCCCAGCTTCAAGCCTCTGTTCCCAGCAGCCAGGGCCCAGGACCAGCCTGAATGCAGAGCCTCCAGGAAGCCCTGCCTCAGGGTTCTTGCTTCCATGATCTTACTCAGGATCATCTGCTTCCTATATATGAAAATCCCTTTCAACTCAGAAGACTCCAGAGGCTATCAAAAGGGCTGAGCCATCCTTACTCCTTGACCGGGTTCAACATCACACACCAGCCGGTGGGCCAGCGTGGGAGACAGATACACACTGTATGAAGGGCAGTGGCCTGAAGCCCTCAGAGAGAACAGCACAGCACTTACTACGGCTCATTTCTCACCCAGTAGCATCATGGAAGACTATGTCAGGTCATCACGGGCATCCTGGGCCAAACCAAGTGATACCCACGATGGTTTAGGCATTCACCAAAGGCCAGCAAAAACCCACAACACCCCCACCCCCTTGTTTTTGCTGGGGACAAGAGGGAGTGAGGTGCTCACCAGAGGAGGGTTTGATCTGGAATTCAAAGCAAGTTTGGCCCCACTCTGTCCCTAACTAGCGCTGTAACCCTGGACCCTGCTGTCACTTGGCCAGCCAAGGCAGAGGATCTCCAGGTCACTTCCAACTCCAGATCCTTGTGTGTTCTGTCCACAGCGGATGAGGAGGATGGGCCCCAAGCCTTACTGTCATTACTGCAGATAAAATGATTGAGTCTGGGGCCACAAAGACCCGTGTTTGGGCCCCCAGCACACACCTAAAATCTGGGCATGGCAGCACATGCTATAAACCCAGTGCTGAGGAGAGAGAAACAGGAGGAGAGCTGGGGTCTGCCCGGCCTCGGCCAGTCTAGAGAGCTGGCGAGCTCCAGATTCAGTGAGAGATTGTCTCAAACTGTAAGTGACCGGGGAGGCACCCACTATCAACCTCTGGCTTCCGCATACATGTGTACACACACGGACACACGCAAATGAAAATACATTCACCGGTCTACTCTCTGTAAACACTGTTACTTTACAGGTGCCACACACCTTCATTCAATCTAGCCTGGGAACACGGTAGGCACATAGATCTCCTGCGGCCTCCCTCCTCCCCAGGAGTCTCTCAAACACCACTTTACACCACAGCCATGCTGGAATCCCTCACCTGCCCCCTGGGACAGGTCACGTGGCTGAGGATTTGGAACGCCCCTGCTTGGGTGGGTCTGACACCAGAACTACCCTCTGGTGTTCCCGGGCAATCATGTGATCAACCAGGATCACACCACCCTGTGAAGGGACTAGTCTCCTACACACTGACATACTACAGTGCACCTACGGTCTCCTTCAGCTCCAAAACCCTGGGGTTATGAAACCCGCCCCAGTACATGCTTTAATTCAAAGTGTCTTACAGAGACTCACTACCCACAGATCTTGCTATTCAACAAGGCCATAGCACAACCCTTAGCTACTCAGTTAATAAGAACTTTTCTCAGAATTAACACCTCTGTAAGAATGGGGGAGCCCAGGCTGAGATTCCAGTTGAGACTCTGAACTGCATATAGGGGACCCCTTGAGATCACACCATAGTCACCTCTACTCCTGACACCTGGGGTATGCTCATATTTAATGTATATGCTTTAATTATTATTATTTTCTTGGTTTCTCTGTGTAGCCCTGGCTGTCCTGGAACTCACTCTGCAGACCAGGCTGGTCATGAACTCAGACATCTGCCTGCCTCTGTCTCCCCAGTGCTGGGACTAAGGGCGTGTGTCACCACTGCCTGGAAACAGAGATGGAGTGTTCATCTCCTACAAGTTGTCCAGCCTGGGCTTGATGGTGCTTCACTGGGTTCCTAGAAGCACACTGTCTCACTAGCTACACTCAGAGGGATTAGGGAAGTAGCAAGACACCCAAACACATAAAGTAATTTAAAGATCAATCCATTCCACATCCCGAATGAATAAGAATGGATAAGGCAATCCAGTCTTATAAAATAAGCATTCCAATCATTCTTCCCAGCAGCCGAATCCTGCTGATAGCATCACAGGACAAACTCAAAGTTTCTTCCAGAAGCCATCAGAGTCAGAGTGACACACCCTACTTCTCCTCCGTGAAACACGGGTGGATGCAGATGAGCATGCAGACACAAGCACACACACACGCTGCACCACTTCCAATTTTACAGCTAGAGTCTACAGGGAAGCTGGCACACGAGTTCCCTTCTTCAGAGTGCTGGCTGGGGAGGTCTCTACTGTGGAAGGAGCCCTCAACGCTGACTTTTGTTTCTTCACTTCCTTGTTGCTTATTTTGAAGGAAAGTATGATGTTATTTAACCAATCAACATTAATCTCAAAAGATTACAACTTAAGTTCCCACCCAAAATGATTATTAGGGAAATAAAAAGCTAAAAACAAACAAAAAACAAACCCCTAACCACAAAAACCAAGGACTGAACAGGCCAAATATGTTCTGCAAGATTCTTTGTAACCGTCCAGCCCCCTTTTCTAGGACAGTTCCTCATTCCTGGTCGAGAATTCACACACTCAGATAGTTAAAAAGATTTCCATTTGGTTTGCAAATGTAGCTTGGGAGTGAGGTGTGTACATTAGCTAGCAGAGGACTGACCCGCAGGGGTTTCATCCATGCTCTCCCATACCCCTAACTGCTGTGCAGGATTCTC